AATCAATCAATCAACCAACCAATCAATCAATCAATCAATCAATCAATCAATCAATCAATCAACCAACCAATCAATCAATCAATCAATCAATCAATCAATCAATCAATCAATCGATCGATCGATTGATTAAGATCGATCTTGATCCATGTAGATCGATCAGGATCGATCTTAATCGATCGATTGATCGATCGATTGATTGATTGATTGATTGATTGATTGATTGATTGATTGATTGATTGATTGATTGATTGATTGGTTGATTGATTGATTGAGTGAGTGAGTGAGTGAGTGAGTGAGTGAGTGAGTGAGTGAGTGAGTGAGTGAGTGAGGGGGGGCGCCCGCGGATCTTAATTCGGGCGCCCCCCCTCAATCAATCAATCAATCAATCAATCAATTAATCAATCAATCAATCAATCAATCAATCAATCAATCAATCAATCAATCAATCTAGAGACTCAAGCTCAGTGGCCACTACAATAATAAAAAGAAGAAGAAGAAGAAGAAGAAGAAGAAGAACAGGAAGAAAAACAAGAAGAAGAAGATGCAACCAAGATTGCAACAAATTGTAACCGAATTGTCATTATTATACAAGGAAATTGTCTGTCTTTACCAGCGGCCTTGCCGCACACACACTCAACTACAGGCCTACTCTCTCTCTGTCTCTCACTCTCTCCCTCTCTCTCTTCCTTTGTTTCTCTCTCTCTTTCTCTCTCTCTCCTTCTGTCTCTCTCTACGTACGTATCTGTCGTGTGCATGGCGATACGGCCCTGCTGATGTGGCAGAAACGAGCCCTGCTGAGGATGGCCATGCTGACGTGGCCCTGCTGATATGGCCCTGCTGATGTGGCCCTGCTGACGTGGCCCTGTTGACGTGGCCCTGCTGACGTGGCCCTGCTGACGTGGCCCTGCTGACGTGGCCCTGCTGACGTGGCCATGCTGACGTGGCCATGCCGATGTGGCCTTGATGACGTGGCGCGCAGCAGTTGGGATGTAGTTGCGCCGCTGATGTGGCGCGCAGCAGTTGGGCATGCTAACTTGGCCATGCTGATGTGGCCATGCAGATGGTCCCCGGCTGATGTGGCGCGCAGCAGTTGGGATGTAGTTGCGCCACTGACATTTAATCGATTAATCGATTAATCTCTCTCTCTCTCTCTCTCTCTCTCTCTCTCTCTCTCTCTCTCTCTCTCTCTGCGCGATCACTCAGATTCACTCCGTTTCCTCCGTCCACCATCCTATGTATCTCCTGCGGCTCCGTCATTTTTCTTGGCTGCTGCACGTTGCCTCTCGATCCTCCTCGTCATATCGAGTGTTAGCCAGGACTCTTCCTCGACTTTGGAGGGAGGAAGGTTGCGGGCTTTCACCCTCTCTCTCGCGGCCTCTTCTTGCAGTAACGTCGGGTTGTCTCTCTCCTTCTCGAGATACTTCTTCGCCTCCATGTCCCGTTGCTTGTCTCTCTCCTGTTCAGCTTGCTGTCTGTCTTCTTCCTCATCAGTTGCTTGCAGCTCCCATGCATAGCGTAGTTGCCACGTGAATCGTCCACGTGTACACTGCACTCCATGAACGACGTCCCTCCTATCGAACAGGCTGTCGTCCGGCCATCTAATGCTGAAGGGGCTTATGGACCCTCCTTGACCACCGCTGGCGTTCCTCCTCGAGCTCGTGCTGTCGCTCGTGTTGCTCCTTGACCGCATGCCTTTGCCACGCACCATCGCGATGCATCGAGTAAGGTAGAGTGACTGTGTATGTGTGTGTGCGTGTGTGTGTGTGTGTTTGTGTATGTGTATGTGTGTGTTTGTGTGTGTGTGTGTGCGTGTGTGTGTGTGTGTGTGTGTGTGTGTGAGAGAGAGAGAGAGAGAGTGTAGGAAATAGACACGGAGAGAGAGAATGATGGAGAGGCTATGGAGCAGCAGAGTGCACAAGTTGCACTTTCACATGCTCCATGCTCGGCTTGGTCAACGTTTTATACAGTAATTAACGTTGACCTAGCCCGGGTCTTAGACTAGAGGAACGTTGACTTCATCCTGGGCTTGGGCCGGTACCGATGTTGACATCGGTTTGGACCTGGCCCTGGTCTCGAGTTTACCTTGGCCCAGAGTACGTATGGAGCGTGGGTGTTAGGTCCAGGCCCAGGTTTAAGTCGTTGTCGGGGCCCCAGGTCCAAGCTCTGACAGCTTTTGTTGGCTTTTTTTTTTTTTTTTTTT